CAACAAACTGAAATATGTAATGAGAAAAAGGCCATAAAACTGAGCAGAAAGTTTCAGTTTTAACCACCTCTGAATTTTATTACAATTTCTCTGTCTCTGTCCTCTGAGCATGTTCAGCCAAACCACATGCAAACTAACAATTAAAAAAAAAACTGAAAATAATTTCGAAGTCATCCTTCTTTTATAGCTTAGTGAAAATGTGCTAAGTTTTGTCTTTAGTTAAAGTAAGGGGCCGATTACGTGGAGGTTTTCAGCCCGGGATGAAATTTCAGCCTGGCAAACAGGGATGAAATTTCAGCCCGGGGCCCTGCAAATTCAATATAATATGAATTTTACGATTATATGGAAAAAATTTCGAAGTGTAAACGAAATGCAAAATAAAGCCACTTAAACGATGTTTTTTAGCCCGGGCTGAAATTATTAGCCTGCGTGCAGGCCCAAAGGAACTGAGGCTAGAAATTATTTGCGATTACATGGGATATTTCATCCCGGTTGACAGGGCTGAAATTCAGGACGGGTTGAAATTTTCATCCCGGTTTATGTCACCCAGGATGAGATTTTCAGCCCTGTCAACTGGGATGAAATATCCCATGTAATTGCAAATAATTTCAGCCCAGGGAAAAAAAAACAATCGTTTAAATGGCTTTATTTTGCATTTCGTCTTATCTTTCATACTTTATATGCAACCACAGTCTTACACAAGTTGAATAGTCGACTAATCGGCGTTTTAAATGCTCAAACAAGCGGAATATTGCCTTTCGTGATATCGTATGATTTCAGGCCGGGATGACATTTCATCCCGGATTTGTTTTAATACTATACAAGGAATACATATTGCTCTGACTAAAACTCAGTCCAGGTTCAAACTGCCCATGTAATCGTGATGCTATTTCGGCTCGGTTTTACCGGGCTGAAATTCAGCCCAGGCTGAAAACTCTCCATGTAATCGGTATAAAATGTACAAAAATTATCTCGGTCATAGCACTATCTACTTAGTCTTATTGCTGTGACTGCTAAAACCATGTAAATTGCTAATAATAGCCATTTTTAAGGAAATGTATTTTCGGGTTTAATTCCCGATGAAAATAACAACTATTTAATATGAGAAAATAGCGACCGGAACTTCCGGAAGGAACAAAACATTTGTCGATTTCAGTCACGCTATATGCGAAAATACCCAATATTCACGGCCTCTGTACGAACTCTAAATACAATAACCCAAACTAATTTTTTTATATGTTCTAGAAGAACATTTGATTAGTTAATGGCGTACGTTTCGTGTAGAAAAAATCTGGGGCACTTAGTTAAAATGGTTTTGGCGTGGCAACGGTAGATTGTAATTTTAGCTATGTGTGAATACCATACGATTCTAAATATCAGCTGTCTGGTTTTAATTAATAGTTAATATCATGATTTTATACTCAATCGAGTCTCAAACATCTCTTCCATCGATTTACAAACGTACAGTTTTCAAATCTTTTCCAATTCTGCATGCGTTAGTTGTTTTTTATCCTGTTCGATTCAATTGAAAATTTGCATATTTTTTAGGCCGCCGACAGTTGAATCGTTTTTCTCGGATTTCTCAGAATTTTAGCGGTTTTTTGAAAAACAAACTACATCACGTTTGTTTACTTGGTAATGTCTTCCTGCAAACCAAAAATGAGCAAAATCGAAACTTTGAGCGTGACCGGCTGATGCTCGATATTAGTGGACCTTCGCTCTTAATATGTTTTGAATTTCGAGCCTGACCATGCAGGTTCTTATTTAAAGGGGGTCTAAGTAAAATATTTTAGCCTAACAGGTTCTTAAATTCTAGGTTCTTATATGCGGGGTTTTACTGTAGCTGCAGTCACGCAATAACGACTGGTACGTTATTATTAAACACGCAATATACTAACAATATAATGGATTGAAAAGTAACATGCAGAATTAGTTTTGTCTTTTGGTCAAGTTCAGCTACATCGCAATCAATCTCTTCGTTGTCACATTTTAATAGCTACTGAAAAACATTTATTGCTGATACTTTGAGTTTTATCGAATATAATTTTCGAGCTGGATTGTTTATCAAAGGCGCGTTCGCGATATACTGTAACGAGCAGCATTACTCATTTACACAAACGCCATGAGTTGGACGTTCTTCTAACGCTCTTTTAGCGAAATGCATCAAAGGCAAAAGCTGGTAAAACAGCGACTCGCCATATTACCGGCTGGAAAAATTGCCAGTATATACACGCCAAAGGATAGCTTTTCCAAGCAAGTAACCTGCTTGGGCTTCAAAATAGTGTTTGCATACAAAATATTTATAATAGAAAACTGCAGACAAATAAGAAAAATAATACATTTTGAATGTTTTTGCATACTACAGTTGAAGTCACTTCTCATAGCTTTACAGTCACTCCTCGGCGGGCCTTGAAAACACAACATTTAACCGGAAGTTGTAAATTACAACATATCACATTTCAACCACCCTCCCCTGGGATCTCTTGTTGAGGAGCTCACGTGACCAGAGGGAACCAGGGTCTTTGCTGTAGCGCCGTGCGGAAGTAAAAGACCCTGGCTTGCGAGGTTGAGTGGGCAGACGATTTTATGACTGCCAAGGGGAGACTCTAGCCTATTAATAAACTAAGGGTTAATTTCAAAATCCATGTTACCATAATCTGATATCACAGTTCTGTCACCAACTGGATAAAACATGAAATATGCCAAAAACATCAACATCCCAAGAACTTTGCGCGACAGCGGAGAAATTGCAAACAATAATATGGCAAGAAAAACAGAACCCATTTTGTCCACAACTGTCACCAGTTTGTCAAACTTTTTTGGGACCCTAATTTCTTCCTCTGATACTTCAGATTTTTCTTCTATTTTAGGACATTCTTTGTATTCCTGAATGAGCTGAAATTGCTGAATGAGCCGAAATTCCTCAAGAATCTTTGACTCATTGTCTTGTAAGACTGAGAAAACAGCCGTTTCTACTTTCTTAATAGATGAACGACAATCTTGAACTTCTTTAATCCCGACTAGCTCAGCATCATTCATTAAGCATTCAATGTCTTTAAAGGCATTTTGTTTATCAATGTCACTAAGTGTGAGATCTGATGCATGAGCCCACTTATTCCGCCAATCTTTAACAGCTTTTAATGAGGCATGTTGAATTTTGAAATGGTTACAAAATATTAGCAAATTAAGAAGGCGTCCAATATCAGTGGTGGTAGTTGTGGCCCAATTTTTTCCTAAATCTGACATGAACAACTTTGCAATCTCCCTGTGTCCATCAACTGGATCATGCCATTGACTACTAATGCTTTGATGCCAAGGAATGTCACTTTTTCGTGGGAAATGGTGAAATTTCTTTAACTCTTGTGCCCAAATGCAAGTGGCTGTTCGTCCATGAGGGTTTGGTTTCTTTCCAGGGGTACACTTGCAAGTGCATTTGACTCCAGGTCCGCCGACATTTGTTGTTATTAAAACATGCAGTTCCTTCATTTTATCCTCAGCATATTTTCGAAGGCCATCACTGAGGAACATCAGGGCATCAGCAACAGCCAGCCAGTTAAAATAACCAGGATCATTTCTTTTTTGACTGAAACCTTTGGCACCAAAACTCATTCTGTTTAATTAGGTCAGTCTACAAAACATAAGTTAGGCCCGGTTTAGACGCCGTGCTTTTCATGAGCCGAACTTAATACAATGAATTAAGCACATGAGCAGCACGGCGTCTAAATCAATTAAGCACTGCACTTAATATTATAAAGCACGGCTAAATTAATAAGTTCGCCTGGTTCAGGCGTGCTACACGGCTGAAGCACATGTTAATTTATACTGCCTTGCTTTACATGAGCCGTACCAAATGCATAAATTGTGATAAAATAGAACATTTATAGTACGCGAGCGTTGATTGGTCGAGAAGCGTGTTTCTACATGGGAAATTTCCCGCCTAAACTTACAATCGTAAACAAAACAATAAGAGTATGTTTAACACATCGTAAAACATGGTACAGTATCTACGCTTTAGGTTCTCTCACTTCTCTACCTGTCAGTTAAAAACTAATCATAACTTACAAGTTTGAGTGACGAGTATGTCCGATGCGCGACCTCCGAAAGGCCTCCGAAGTTTTTACTCGAGTGAGATCATATAAATTGATTATCGCGTATCATGTCTATTATGACTATTATAAAATCTATCGAAATAAATAAAGCAAAATCACAGTTCACGAAACAGACATCCTTAATTCTCATTTCATGGAGCATTTTTATCGAGAATCACACCTCATGGCTGTAGAACAAATTACATTTCACGACACTAAAATCAAGCATTTCACGTTTCACGCGAATAAATATTGACCATTCACGGCTCACGAAAATACCCTTTCCCACCCTCTTAATACCACTTTATCGGCAAATATCGCGGTAGAATTTCCTTTTCTTTTCTTTTATAATCGTTGATGTTATTTGGCTCAGAGGCTAGGAAATATTTGCCTGACATGACTGTGTTGTCAAAACATTTTTAGTTGGAGACTCGGCATAATTTTCAAGCTTGTAGATAGCATTTGATATGGCTTTATATTTTAGTAAACACGAGTCATATTTAGCTCGTTATTCCATTCTGACCGTATGGTAGCGAAACGTAGCCTATTTCACTGTTCCGACAGCATTAGAGCAAAACTAATGACTTAATTATAAACGCAAAGGAAATTTCCGTAACATTTTCTATTTACAAATGCGGTATGCTTGGTAACCAGGACAGGGACCACTTTTTTGAAATCAGGGACCATTTTACCGAAATCTGCTAGGCTCTCTCGCTGAAGCGTTCCGCACAGCACACCCAGGCATAAAACTATTAAGACTTATTTAAATATATCAAAGCAGTGAATAGAGAGAGAGCCTGGGACTAGGCTGCGGGTAGGGATAAAACGCTGAAACTGAATCGCGGAAACGGAAAGCGGAAACTTAAATGGGGCTAAAACGCTGAAATGGGGGTAAAACGCTGAAATGGGGGTAAAACGCTGAAATGGGGATAAAACGCTGAAATGGGGATAAAACGCTGAAATGGAGGTAAAACGCTGAAATGGTGATAAAACGCTGAAATGGGGATAAAACGCTGAAATGGGGATAAAACGCTGAAATGGGGATATTTAATCGAATTCGTTGTGAACGGCAATTGCGAACGGCAATTGCTGGATAGTATACTTCAAAATAATGTTTCAGTTTTTATATCAATTTTTAAAACAAGTTGGGGTTAGGTTAGGGTTTAGGTTAGGGTTAGGTTAGAGTTACTGGGTAAGGGTTAGTATTAGGGTTAGGTTTAGTTTATGTTAGGATAGTTTTTTCTACGTTATATGACGTCAATGCAACAGCCAGTTTATGCACCTCGGTCAGCGTCAGCAACGCCACAAGGATCCCAACAGGTCCCATTACCTACCGCTGTCAATCCTCCAGTAGGAACATTTGTTCTTAGTCTTTTCCAGTGTTGTCCTCCTTTAGTTCGCACCTGTTTTGGGTGTTCCCAATCGTTAAAACTCGGCGGGATTATCGCAAGTCCACCGTATGATTTGACGATTATTGCACGTATGAATAGAGGTTTTCCTAACCCTAATACTCCTGATGGACAGTTGATGTTCAAAGAACAAAATGCATATTTCCATGTAAATTTGAGTTGCCTCAAGATGAAGCAGCCATATTTTAACCCTGCCTGCATAACTGTACCAAATTGGCTGCCATATTATTTAACACCAGAACATGTGCGCTTTTTACGAGAGTTTGGTGCTCAAATTTGACGTGGCATGATGTCGATATTGTTTTGTTTTTTAGTTTGTTCAGTTAGTTTGTTCAATTCTACACGGCCAAAAACGCTGAGCCTGCTGTACTGCCTGTACTGTATTGTACTGTACTGTACTGTACTGTACTGTACTGTACTGTACTGTACTGTACTGTCTGTACAACAGGTTGCAACAATATTATGCTGACCTGTTTTTTACAGTTAACAACATTGAACAATATTATTCATCTTGAATGGGGTGCAACAATGCTGAACAATATTGTTAACATTCGTGAACAATAGGCGTAGCACATTATTGTTGCAACCTGTTTTTATCAACATTGCAACTACAAGTTCATGATTTTTACGCGTGTAGGCAGGAGAAGAAAAACGTTTTTTCCGATTTAGACACGTGTCCTGACAATTCCCGGGAAATTCCTGTGACACCGGTTTTACACCCAAAATACCAGCCATATGGCAGTGTGAAGAAAGTATGCTATCACAAAAAGTTTAGTTCGAAGTTATAAGGAGAAAATTGTAGATTACATTATCAATAAAAGATAAACTGTCAGATTATATTCGTTCTTCGAAAATTTGTGGTTGTCATTTTACCGGGAACTTCTTTCTTATATTTATTCAGTTTTATAGGCAAATTACATGTGTTCGCCATGGTCTAGCAAACAACGAATTCGATTAAATTTGCCCATTTCAGTTATTTATTCCCATTTCAGCGTTTTATACCCAGTTCAGTGTTTTATCCCCATTTCAGCGTTTTACCCCCATTTCAGCGTTTTATCCCCATTTCAGCGTTTTATCCCCATTTCAGCGTTTTATCCCCCATTTCAGCGTTTTATCCCCCATTTCAGCGTTTTATCCCCCATTTCAGCGTTTTACCCCCATTTCAGCGTTTTACCCCCATTTCAGTTTCCGCTTTCAGTTTCCGTTTCCGCGATTCAGTTTCAGCGTTTTATCCCTACCCCCGTTTCTACGCCCTCTCTCCCTTCGCCCTGATTGGTATCCCCCTCTAATAAGTATAATGATAAATTACGGTTAATATTCTTTTTTACTTTTTGTGCATTTTTTCCTTCTTTTATTTCAAATACAAGTATAGTAGCATAAATTTTAGAGCAAATTTGGATGCTCAGAATGCAGGAAATGGCATTTCCGTGTTTAAAATTTCAAAAATTTTCTGGAGGAGTACACCCCCACACACGTAACCATTGGTATCTTCCTCTAATAAGTAATGATAAATTATGGTTAATATTTTTTTAAACTTTTTGTTGGTTTTTCCCTTCTTTTATTTCAAATACAAGTATAGTTAGCATACATTTTGGAGCAAATTTGGTTGCTCAGAATGCAGGAAATGACATTTCCGTGCTTCAAATTTCAAAAATTTTCTGGGGGAGTACACCTCCAGACCCCCCCCCCATCCATGCGTGCATGGTATGTTGGTCACACACGTGGCCTTCAGCCATTGCTATCTCCCTGTAATATATTATCTCACAGAAAGGTCCCTTTTCAAAAAATGCCCCCCCCCCCCACGGGAAAATCCTTAAAAAAGGCCCTGATGTCCTCCCCAGCTATGTGTTGAAGAGGCCCTGAATTCAGTAAATACAGAAAGGTCTTTCTTTTCATGGAACGTCCCATGCATACTGCATTATGCAGTATCTTTCTCATAATTAGAGACCCTTAATTAATAGTTTGACATTTATAGCAAACGCCAAATCGCTAACGATGATTGTGATTTAACTACGCTCTTGTAGAAATTACACTAATTTTGTTACATAATAAACATCCTAACAAAGCTCGTGACATTTAGCAATAATGATTATCAGAATTAGTTAGACACTATACTAACATATTAGCCAAGACAGTAAATTCAGCTTTTAAGTTTGAGGTTATCGTTTGCAGTATAAATTTTACACATGGATCCTGATATGTTTTATTTCTATTTTTAGGGAAAGTACATTTATTACACCGAGGGAGGGGGATGAAGATGTCTTGAAAAAAGCTCATATTTTTACAGGGCCCCTGTTGAGGTTATTGGTAAATTTCGATGCCCCCCCCTCCAAGTTTTTAAAATTTTCAATGCCCCCCTCCTAGAATTCGGAATCGAAGCAGTACAGTCCGGAATTCTCTCTTATCATTGCAGTTCCTCAAGATGTCTGATACACTCAAGCATGTGCTTCTCCTCAACAAATCGATCTGCTGCTTCTTTCACCTCACTAGCGCCAGATGAAATGGCACCGTCTTTTTAAAAAAAATAAATTAAATTGGCTCTAGGGGCGAAATTATCAACAGGTTGTTGTTGTCCATCATTCAGCGTAGTGGCCAGGATTTCCAGGATTTTTCACACGTTCATGTAGTGGCCAGGATTTCCTGGATCAGGGTAATGTGCTGGAAAACAGGTGGGAAATTTGTCTTCGCTGACCAAAAAATTGCGGGCAGAAACAAAGCTCATTGCATTTACATTCAACACAAAGCAGAAAGTTAGCAAGAAGCTGTTTTAGCTGACGATTTTTTGCTTTCCAATCAACGATTTACAAATTATTGGTTATTCTTTTAAAAGTCGATCATGAATTCTTTGTTTTGGGATGATTGTTTTGTAATCGCGTGATTGGAAGAAGTTAATATGGAGAAATGAACATGGGAGTAAATACCGTATACGTTGATCTATGGCTTGTTTAAAACCGAAATAACCGAAGACGTGATTTGAGAATGAAATGTAAGTTGAAATTAACTTTATATGCTTCAAATTTTCCATCCTATGTTTCTTAATGTAACTTCAGCTGTCTATAAAGTTCAAAATACAAGCTCGCGAAATTTGACAAATTTTGAAAATATGTAAAAATAGCTTGATTTTGAACTGTATTTTCTCAAAAATAGCCGTGGCCTCAATTTCAAATATAGCTAAATGAAAAGAAAAAACTTTTCGGCGTTTGTAGGTATCAAACATATCGTCAGGAAAATAGGGGCTCACAATGTTTTAGTTCAGTCTTTGAGACCCAGTTGCTTCGCACGTGTTGTGGTCAAATTTTTGCCAAGAATCAAAGGCCGAAATGTGAACTTCCTTCATCAAAACCACTTCGAGAAGGGTCTAGTTTGAAAATTTAGCTATTAATTTCGATTTCATGAGCATATTTTGGTTACACGTTAAGAATTTTTGTGCTTGATGAGATTCAAAATTTGTTGTTTATTCAAGCCCGACTTTTGTGTAATTTTGGTGATGACCGGAACAGAAATAAAGATATTTTAAAAACTGGCCGTGGCCTCACGATAAAACTTTCTACAAATGTTCTCTGTTTCATGTACTTTTATTTGATATCTTAGGTATAAACGTAAAAATAGGGGCTCATACAGTTTGAGAGGTTGTAAAATGCATGACTTGCCTCTATTTTCATGTAAACATTCGAAATTCTTCGACAGCAAAGTAGCAACTGTTTCAGATCGAATGCACATGGACAGACCACCAGAGACAATAGCAGGGTACTGAAATAGAACGTCACTAAAAAATTCTGTATGATTAATTTAGATCATGTCCACTCTTTCAACATAAAACAGTCATTTACTGCGATTTCCAGTTGAGCATGGAATCGCGAAAGTTTGTTCGTTAAGTTTTGTCGTTTCAAAACAATGTTTGTGACGTTATTCTATAATGTTGCTAAGCGAGCTGACAATGTTGTCAAGTAAAGTAGTGTCAAGTTCACGACTATAAATGACTAGAAGTTACTATCGCAAGGGAAGTGCTGCATCAGCACCAAAGTCCTGGGGATTGATTATACCAATAAACTTCATTTACTTAAATTGCCTTATACACACTGTATGTATGAATTTATTTTGTTTAAGAAATATCGAAATTATAACATGCAATAATTACTATATATACTATTATAACGTGTACTTCGGATTTTCATATTTAAATGTATGCTTGTGATTGTTGGTACCAATGTTTTAACCATCTTCACTTGTCAAAACGTCTAGAAGAACACAATTAGGAATATACACGATATGTCTTTTATTAACCTGATATGACCAGTTTGTTGCAAGTTTTGATATTCTTTCTTTCCAAGGTAATGATAGTCCATACTGTATTTTCCATTTGGTAAACAAGTCTTACACTATTCGTTTTTTGTCCAATATATAAATATTTCGTATTTATTTAGCATGTACAGGTAGTATCCATTGTTGGCCATCATTATTGTTCAATAACTTGTTAGGTTACTGTACATATAAAGGTATGTACTGTAATATCTTGACATACAATGTTCCTGACATCCATATGGTAGATTGGAAACAAGTACAGCGAAATTCAGATTCCATCCCATTGCATTAGATGTAATATATCCATACAAACTTGTAAATCAGCATTCTTGTTTTAATAGAAATACATTTCTGTTAATCCAGAAGCTCCCATCGATTTTCATGCGATGTAATATATCCATATTATATTTTGACTTTAACAACCATTTGGTTTCATCCAGCAGTTAACATGGCACCATTCACATCCGTCAGAATTGCAAAACTATAGAACAAATAATTGCCAGCATGAGATATTTACTTAGAAACATGGTAGCACATAAATGAATGAAAAAAAAAGTAGGGCAGGGGAGGGGTTTAAATAACAAACAAAATACTTACCATTATTTCAACTTGCAAATCATAATATTTTCATACACACAGTGATAACAATGAGTAAATTAGTTATTATAACAAATTAAATTATTTAAAAGGGTATATAGTCAAACTACATTCCAAAATATAACTGGGACCCATATATGAAATCCCTTTCTTATTCAACCTCAATAGTTTGTTGTTCTAAATGCACTGCTAGTAGCCTGTGCTAACTGATCTAGCCTGTTTTCTTCTTCAAGCCTATATTGTAAGTTAGCGGATGATTTCAAGCTTGTTAATCGTTCATACGTCATTGGTTCAATGACACAAGATGCAAGTGACTTTACTCTACTAATAGCAACATAGGAAACTGCAGCAGTTCTTTCAGATTTGCCAATATCTATCCATGCTTTTGGAAGCGTAAGTCCTTGGCTCTTGTGTATTGTTAGAGCCCAAGCAAGCCTAAGAGGTAACTGTTGTCTCTCATGGAAACCTATTTCTGTCTGTGATGTGACAGTGATTGGATATATTGGGATACACAATGGTTGGTTTTCATTAAAAACAGGTCCTCTGTAGTTTTCAAATTCTACTATTACCGCAATAGGTAAGTTAGGTGGTTGATGGTTGTTGTGATAGATAATATCAACAACTGTCCCAGTAGCACCATTGCAGAGACCAACACTTGACCACAAATTCATGGTTAACATGACCCTAGCACCTTTTGCTAAAAACACAACAGGTTCTAACCCAGACATATCATCTGAGGATATCTTTTTTGCAAATGCTGATGAATGGCGAGCATTAATATGAGCAACTGGATGCTCAAGTTTTGTTAGCTGCTCATGGTTGTAATTAGCAACTTGTTCATTACTATAAAAGAGTCTAGTAGAATCTTCAAAGTCACATAAATTAGTAACATTCGATGGTTGACGTGTCAGAAGTAACTTCCAGTCATCAACTGTTGAGTTGCCTTTGCGAAGTCATAATAACAAATCTCTGAACTGTACTTGCTCAGATGTCATACAGTACTGCCAAGAAATAACTTATCAAAAACCGCGTCCAAGACGCGGGTATCTTGCGTCCACTGTGCGTCCACGGGCGCCCGCGGGTGCGTCCGTCCTGCGGGCGCCGTGCGTCCGTCGTGCGTCCACTGTGCGTCTGCGGGCGCTTGCGGGCGCGTCCACTGTGCGGGAGCCATGCGTCCGCTTTGCGTCTGCGGGCGAGGACGCAGCTGAGAAAGAGTTCTATTCGTAGATCGTCGGAAATTATCGCGTTTCGCTTTTCATAAACAAACCGTGGGCGTCGGAAAATATTCATGTTAGCGATTTCACACCACGTTTTTTATGCTTATACACAAGCGTTGCAGACCTAGAATCCTAGATATTTATATTTCTAACATTAAACTTACCGTGAATTTTCAGAATTTGTGCTTCGTAAAGTTCCTTTTCGCATTTGATCTCTACTTTCGCACCTTCGTATAACGTTTGCTTTAAACCCAGTAATCTTTTAACGTTGCCGGTTGGCAAAATGCACATATGGTTTTATATGTTCTTCGAAGAAACCCAAAATACGTTGACAAGTAAGCGATCGATACCTCATTTTATTAGTCTGATAGTAATACGAATCGAGTGATATTAGTCTGAGCTCTTCACTTCAGCTTTAGCGAATTATACTGCAACTTTGAAAATCAAGCGATGAGTCACAGTCATTGAACCGTGTTGAAACACAAAGACTGTTTCCTGGACATGTAAAGGTATTCCATTAAGGGATTAAGAGAAGTCATTTATCCAGAAATTATATGGTAATTATCAATTTATATGACATATCACCATGTGCATTTGCTGCTTTGGAAAAACAACACAAACTTGTTGCTGTAAATAAAGTTATATAGTGGCTCGTAGTAATGGTATTTTATATTAAAAGTCAAAAGCACTATAAATATTGTAAATGAGCATCTTCGTTTTAATATACTGACGAGTTACGGAGACATAACATTATTCAAATACGGAATTGCATATCAACTAATCGGTAATCTACGAGGTAAGTCAGAATTTGAGTAGCAAATGAATGTGTTGCGAGATATATACTCGTTATAGTCGTGATCTCACTGAGTTTAGTATATGTGTCTACATTATATTTATATATAGTTTATGTCTATTTTGCGCTCCAACATACAGTCATATACGCTTCAATCGCCACTGAAGTACGTGTGATTGCATTGTGAAAGCACTACGCTTACTGTAGTATAACGTGTAACATTATAAAATGGTTATACAAGTGTAACGCTTAGGTTAAATGAAACTCGATTTCGGATTCAACTTTTTATTCTTTGCTTCTCCGATCAGTGACACTGATCTGTATTCTCACGACAAACTACGAGTATGATGCAAATATTAGTTCGTTTTCCGATTATGTTACGACGACTGCGTCCAAGCGGACGCAGTTTTTAACTGGAGGCCGGACGCGGGCCGAGTAGACGCAAGACGCGGGCGTCGTGGAGGCCGGACGCAGGCGCTCTGGAGGCAGGACGCGGGCAGAGTGGACGCAAGACGCGGGCGCTCTGGAGGCAGGACGCGGGCAGACGCGGGGACAAGTTATTTCTTGGCAGTACTGTACCTTGCACACGTTGATTTACAGTGAGTTTAACAACTTTGTCAAACATATGATATGCTTGATGACCTTGTTCACCAACAGCGTTTGATGGTTTAGCATGGTAAAGAGGTTTATCTGCTACTGGTGGCAATTGACCTGGATCACCAGTTAAAATCAACGATTTTCCTCCAAATACTTTGTCATTAGAACCAGTTGCTTGTTTGCAACGCTTGTCTATCCAACCAAAAGTAACTTGGCCAAGCATAGAGTATTCATCAATAATGATGTATCCAATGTTATTAACACTTTCTTGGAACCTACACAAGCTTTGTCCTGTTAGGTCTTTTTTACCTCTTGATCCTATAGGTAACTTTAATAGAGAATGCACAGTTACACCTCTAATGTTATAAGCTGCTTTACCTGTGGTAGCACAACAGCACATTTACTTTGCAAAAGATTTCTAATAGCATTAATAAGGTAACTTTTACCGGTTCCTGCAACACCATTTATAATGAGACATAATGGCTCTTTCTCAGATGATATATCATCAAAATGAAACTTAACAATATCATAAGCAAGTTTTTGCATTTCACTAAAACTGTTGATGTCAACAACATCATATTGCTCATCAATAGTGTATTCCTCTTTGTTTGTTTTTATCCATGTTGGCATTTCTTGGATTTGTTGTTCTGAATAATTGGCTCTGTCAAGATGCCAGTCATATGTGGACTCTGGTGTTTGTTCAGAGTTGTCAAAAGGAGTGTTGAGGTCTGATAATATCATCCACTCTTCTCGAGTTGTCTCCTGTTCTTCAGAAGGTTCATCTTCTGATTCTTGAGTTTGAATGACAGCTTGTAATTTATCAAACCAGTCTGGAACATTAGACTGCCCATAAGGTGTTTGTAAAAATTCATGCCAACAATTGATCAGAACCTCGTCCGTTGGTTCTTGGTCACCCCATGCATTATTTTGGGTTGTTCTCCAGGGTTTAAACCTCAAAAGTTGATATTTACAATATAGGCCAAAATTTGGACCTTTGGGATTAGGAGAATATGTTGGAAATATTCGTGGTATAACATTCTCTGGCAATTTTGTCAGTTCATTGTTAACAACTTTGTATGTTGTAGCAAACTGAACAAAGTTCATATTTATTATATTTTGTGAACTGTCATATTGTTCACGATTAGCATACACATCAAGAAGTGAATATTCAGTGCATGATTCACCCTCGTCAATACTTGCAGTATCACGCACTCTACGTGAACCATTTAGACTAACTGGCATTACTTTAAAAGATGAGCTGTGGAGTTTTAAAGACAATAAATGATGCATGGTCTCTTGAGCTGCATAATCTCTTTCACCAAGAGATTTCATAACTACCTTCTTAATAACTCTACGTGGGTCAGTATTACTGTCAATATTTTGCACAATAGAATTGAATGCCTGTTTCAATATATAGGTGATCTTGGCTCACCTTTAGCAGCATATTTTGTGAGATATTCAACACAAGCATAGTGATCAATAACAACTTGAATATCACAGTTAGCTCTCCATCCTTGGAGCTGTAGCTGTTGGTGGTTATTTAACCTAGAGTCATTTCGTTTAGTCACAATCTTAGCTCGATAATGCTCATTATCACCTGAACTATGAATTTTTTCAAATTCTAATTTTGTCTTAGGACAAATATCAAAAGGGAAATGAAATCTACATTTCAACTCTGTTTCATTTGACTTCTTTCTAAGACAATAACTTGTACTACAACGAGTGTGTCGTTGAACCATGTTCAAAAGATCTACATAATCTGATTGTTTTTCATGTTCAGGAATGTCATGATGACTTCTTTGACATGGATGAACCTCAGGTCTTATCCACATTTCCTCGTCTGGTGGATTAGGATTGACGGTTGATAATAACCAATCAACATACTGACATACTGTGTCAGCTGCTTTCTGACCAGCTTCAATATCCTGGTCTAGTTCAGTTGTGTCAGAACAATCATTTTCATCCTTAAATTTTTGAGCTAAGAAACCTTTCAAAGCAGTCTGAGTAAGTTGACACAAACCTGGGTCATTATTTAGTTTAGCAGTACCATGACAATGGATACTACCTCTACCTTGATATTCATATCTAAACCAGTGCCATTTTGCACCAAGTGTATCGTAAAGCCAGTGTTTAACAAACTTTTCTAGTCTCTGTGTAAAGAACCAATCAACTATATGTGGATTGTTAATAACATTTTGTCTCCTTGCCTCACTAGTGGCATTACCAGTGTTTGCTCCAAAGAGAGCATGTAATTCAGGCCAGTGCATATCTGCTGATGAGAAAGTAAAGAACAATGTTGGTGCTCCAACATTAGTTATTATAGCTTTCAGTTCCTCTCTCACTTTATTCCAGTAAGCATTAGTACCTGCAATATTGCCAATGTATCTCGACACTTTGGACATCAATAAAGCAGAGTTGTCACTCGCAGCCATTTCACGCAGCTCATCAATTGTGAGGTGTGCTTCACCTGGATTTTGCTTAATGAATATTCCACTTTGTTGTAGAATACGCTTTCTGTGAATCATATCAAATGCCCAGTATGAAAATCTTGGGTGGTTAGCAAAACGGTATACCCATTTACCATCAACAAATTCAGCAAATTTCAAAAGATGCTTAATTCTTTCTTGAAGAGGAACATTCCTCAAGATACTTTGATTAGTGGGATCACCTTTCCCATCAGGAAATAATGTTGGAAAAGCCATAGTGGCCAGATGTTATCTGATATTCATTCAAAGGTTCACTTTCAATAGTGGGCCATGGCATTGGTTCATTTGCAGAAAGCTGGTTTCTAACTGCTTCTACTTCTTGTTCCTGCTGTTCACCAACAGGCAAAAAACTATTCATGTCTGTTGAGTTGTTATAAACTATATCTTCAGAAGGGTTTTCAGTGGGTGGACCTAAATCTGACATAACATCATCATTTGAGATTATTTCATTTTCAGTCTCAACAGTCATGAGATCTGCTGGAATGCCATTTTCAGGTAAAGAGTTAAGTGCATTTTCATTAATTTCTAATTCAGCATAATGAGGATTATTTTGCACAAGCCATAATAATGCATTATGTACTTTTTCTCTTCTCACAGATACATCTCTAAATGAGTTATCTTTACCCTTGACTTTGACAATAATCACAGACAAATCTTTGGGATATCTTGGCAATGATGTTGCAAGTTCCTTAACATTTTGTGGCAAATTAACACAATGACCTGAGTAACCTCGTTGTCCACCAGGTGTTATGTAAACTCTCATGATAGGAAGAGCACGAGCAATCAACATTTCCTCTACTTGAGTTAAATTTTGTAACTCGGTTGGCACTGGAGAAGGAATCATTGAATTTTCAAGTGAAAACTTTCTAGGAGATTTTGTGTCTCGAGCACATCGAGGGCATATATAACAATTAGGTGACCTTGGTTTAGAGTTCAGTGGCCATGCTTCTTGACATATAGTGCACTGATTAATAAAGAATTCAATAGATTTAGAAAATTTATTAATGTTATTTTTTGCCCAACTCTGTTCATGAATACTACCATCTTTTTCAATGTCAAATTTGTTTAAATAATCCTGCTGATTTATAATTTGAGTAGAAGCACACAAACGTTTTCTCTTGTTCTGATTAGCACTTTGGTGATTTCTAACATCTCCAAGTGTAGTTTGTTTCTCATGTTCAGTTTCTGAAGCTTGTTTTGCTTTTCGATACTCCCTAGCATTTTCAAGTCTAGTTTGTTTCCGAGTTTCGGTTTCTGCTGCTTGCTTTGCTTTTTTATAATTTCTAGCATTTTGCAGTCTGCTTTGTTTCTCATGTTCAGTTTCTAAAGCTCGTTTTGCTTTTCGATACACCCTAGCATTTCCTAGTCTAGTTTGTTTCTCAATTTCGGTTTCTGCTGCTTGCTTTGCTTTTTTATACTTTCTAGCATTTTGCAGTCTGCTTTGTTTCTCATGTTCAGTTTCTGCTGAAAACTTTTGTTTTACATGCTCTTTTGCACTTTTGCTTGAAGCAAGTCCACTTATTTGTGTTATATCAGAATTTAACTGAACAGTTACCCCTTTAACTTCAAAGGGTGTTTCATTACCCGGAGGTACAGTACTCTGGAAATATATCACCAGGTTTTCTACACTATCAACAGATGCTAATATGCATTTTCCAAAAGGGTGTGGGATCCCATATAAATCTCTTGAATGAGAATCAAATACTTTAAAGGTTCCTTCAGAAGTCTTAAAAATTGCAACAGTATTACAACCAATCGTCAACATACAATGTTGATAATTTAAATGAGCTTCTGTGAACAGATTATTAAGAGCACCCTCCATAGAATAATAAGGTAGAGTGGTGTTTTCCATGAATAAGTCACCAGCAAACGGGTCACCATATTGCATACAATAAATGCCATCAAAAACCGAAACCATTTCAGGCACATCAATCAAAAGCAAATAGCTTTTATTAACAGAATTGCTTATAAAAGAATAAAGATTATTTCCAGCACACAATATGGAATTTAATACAGTTGAATCCCATGCATTTGCATTTGTGATATGACTATATATTATCGCAGTCAAAGACATTGCTAAACATTGTTTACCAGCATTTTGTTGAAACTTTTTTGTATTTCCCTGACTAAAATCAGCACATATTGTTTTAGTTGGATCAACCACATCACATGTTGTGGGTCCAGGATTTTCCTCTACATCATTTGCCATTCTCAACAACAATGGAACATAAACAATGTAGCCTGACATTTGAGTGAATAACAATATCACTTGATTAAAAAGTTTTAAGCAAAATGGTCTGCTTATTTGTAGCATTGGCACAATGCCAATGGCTTGCTTATTTGATTGTGTGACAGTACCACAATGGCTTGCCAATTTTGTTTGTAGCAGTGGCACAATAGCCTGTGCACATCCTGTATTACCCTGTAGCAGTGGCACAATGGCTTGCTGATTTATTTGTGTGGCAGTGTGGCACAATGGCTTGCCGATTTTGTTTGTCGCAGTGGCACAATGGCTTGCTTATTTGATTGTGTGGCAGTGGCACAATGGCTTGCCGATTTTGATTGTAGCCCAGGGTGCATTCCGTGTAAACTTCACGTCGAAGATCAGAGGTAGTGTTGCCGTGCGCCAAGTGAGGTCAACTTGTGTGCCGGCTGATCGTGCGCACCGTGATTTTTCATTAATAGTTAGTTTTTCAAATTTAAAACTTGCTAAAAAGGCGTGTAATTGATGAATAAGATGTTTTGCTGATGCATGAGCAATTATGAGTGTTGTTACTGTTGTATCACAAGTTATATCCACCATTTAGTAATATTACACTGACCAGGAACACAAATTTATCGAGTCCCTAAATATTTATAAAGGCCAATAATCCAATCACCAGGCGATTATTAATACTCATAGTCTCGCTTAAACATTTGATGCTGCGCCAACCACCAAAACTCAAAACTTGTGCGCCAACCTCGATGTGATTGTGCGCCAACAATTCAAAACTCACGCCGAAGATCTTCCACAAAACGTGCATGGAATGCACTCTGGATTGTAGCAGTGGCTTGCTTATTTGATTGTGTGGCAGTGGCACAATGGCTTGCCGATTTTGATTGTAGCAGTGCCAGTGGCATTATTTGTTTTATATATAAAGATTAAAGAGTTGTACGGCAGCACCCAAAAAATACATAATAAAATTTATATACAGTCGATTCATTCATTCGTTTTATTGCCATTGGGTAAAATCACACGACCAAAACACATTGCTATTTGTGATCAAACAAATCTTACCTTGAAGAAAAATTTCGATATAAAACAGCCAGTGAGCCAGACGTAAGAAAATATTTCGATAAACAGCCTGACAAAACTTGCAGCAAGCTGGAATCAAAATTTACAACAGGCACGAGCACTCAGTGGGCACGAGGCTTAGGCACAGAATAAAGACACAATTCTTTATTCTGTGGCTTAGGGCAACGTGTTATTTACAAATTGCAATATTCCATGGTGGTGTTCGCGAGTCTCAACCAGAGTATTCGGAAAGTCAAATCGCGATCTGGAGTACGAAATTTTTTAAAATTTCTGTGACGTCAAAAAACGTCATAAATCTGAAAATCCGTACATCCGTCAACAAAATCGAGTTGTCGTTCGGCTATACATAACTCGGCCAAAGAGACTGGACACACGTAAACGCAATACTTCATGTTAGGACTAGAAGTTACTATCGCAAGGAAAGTGCTGCCTCATGCCAAAGGGATCAAAGGCAGCATGCGCAATTTTCTGAATAAGGGGTTGTTTTTATGATCCCGCTTTGTCAGGACGAGATATGAGGCGGGAAAGGCATGATTTCGATGTATTGAAATAAGCTAACGGTGCACAATTCTGCAAAAAACGTCATTATTTTCTAGAGATAGATTTATACCCGGCGTACTTAATCGATAAAAACCGATCATCGGAAATCCAATCGATCAATCGATGGTAATCGATGTTAATTACTTAATTGATATCAGTTCACATTGATCAACCGATGGCCAATCGATAGTCACAAAAAATTATAGCCAATTTTATCGATTATTGTCCATATTCATCGATTTTCATCGACAAAATGCTTTCGATTTTTATCGATTTATATCCTAAACAAGACGCCTACTCAGGCGTTCACTCCGGGTACAGGGCCTTAACTAAGCGCAAAGCTACTTTAACGTATGCTTCTATACGGCAATGAAGGTATCTTTAATGCATGATATTTAGCATATTAAAGTTGGAAAAGTGGGAGAACTACACCACTTGACCAGGTGACTAAAAACATATGCAATGATCATAATATTTTATAACATAAAAATAAAAGGATATTGTGACACTAATTATCTCTAATAAAAGCTATCTAGTTCTTTATTAAAAGTTCTATTTAAAACATGCGTAGGAGTGTTTTTTAAAGTCGTATATAATAAGTCGGAGGCCGTATTTTACAAATATTTTATGGGGTTTTTTATTGTCGAGGGTAGAAATTCGAGGGTGAAAAGCTTGAGGGTACATTTTAATAATTTAACAAAATAATAATTTAAGTTCGTGTTCACTTACTTTACTTTTAATTTTTAGCTCTTATTTTTATATGCAATTATTAATTTTTTATATGCGATTACTTTTTATATGACGAAATATTACTACATAAAAATAGACATGCCGATCAAAAGCGACAGTCGAGATATTTTCAAACGGCGTGGTGCATTATCTGCGTTATCTCGGATTGCATGTCGCAAATTATTGTATCAGTCTATATGGTCTATTGAATCAAAGTAATCAGGACTTGTTTACACCTTTCCATTGCCATACGCCTTTTCCGGGTTCGCGACGCCATCTTCAAAGTATTGTTTTCGCTATTGTGCTTGCCCCACTTGCAAATTTACCTATTGGGAATGCCCGCAAATTTCTACCCTCGACAATAAAAACCATAAAATATTTTAGAAATACGACCCCGGACTTTTTATATATGACCCTCGACTTTTTTATATATGATTTTTCGACCCTCGCTTCCCACCCTCGACCCTCGAGAAGAACTCCTGAAAATGAATTACTAAAAATAGCTAACGTAAACAAACCACATTTATCAAACACGCAAAGAAAATTATTTAAAAAGTAATATATTGTTAGTCGTGTCACATAGTTAATTGTCAACACTTTTTCAATGCATGGTAGTAAGTTTATAACTGGCACCAAGTTATGTTGATATTTTGTTTATACAGATTGATTGTTTTAATTTGTAAGGCTTCTGTAAGTTTGTTATTATCAAACGTTTAGATTGTTCTAGTAATGATTTTACTTTAAGACCAAGACAATGCAGCTGTCGAGACCGAGTTTTAGTACTCTATAAATAAAACATTAAACTGTGTAATAGAAGTGATAGTGTTGGGTAAAGCTATCTATAGTTATATATATTTTATACGCGCTTTTGTCTAATTCAAGCGTGGTAGACAATATTGCCAATATTGTTGTGGTTTGCGATATAAATTGCCTCGCGAATCGAAGACTTTCAGATATGTCATATGTCGAATAGATTTGTGCGTTGTTTGTACTTCAATTTTGGCCACGAGGCACAAATTAGGGAGACTTAAAGAACACGAGTGACGAGTGTTAACACAATTTAACTACGTACAGTGTTGACAAAATTAAAAAATACCGGGCTAACGTCAGTAACGAACCACTGAAGCCAGTTGTCGATCAGAATTAGCTTTCCAATAACGGCAACCGCTACCAAACACGCGAGAAAGTCTCGAATTTCGATTTGTATTTATATGAACTGTGGTCATTGTATAAGAACGAGTGTATGAGAACCCCTCCATTTGATAATATTTACTGTAAATAGAACTAAATACATTGTAAACAGCTAAACACAACGCTCGCTCCGATCTACTACGCATGGCGGCTATTTTTAGATATTTCGTATTTTTGTAGTGCGTTGCGTGCGTTACGTACGGTGCACCTGTGGAAGTGCACACTTGCGTCGCCTAAGAAAAAAGATTGGCCATTTTAATACTCCGGTACTTACAGTACCCGGAGTAATAATCGCCGCGTGTCGGCGTGTTCGAGCTAAATGGTAAATCTGTTCTCATTTTTTGAATGTACACATGATCTTCTCTACAATATTTAAGTTCTGTTAACAAGCATTTAAACTTTTGTTTAACCTGGTGACTTATTTCAATACATCAAAAATCATCCCACCTTCCATCATGTAAACAGCCCAGGAAGTAGGAAAAGTGCAATTTGAATACCAAACACCTTGCACAAGGTCAAAGGTCAGCTAAATATTCTAATTCTACTTTCTTGGCATGGACAGTTTTACATATATGAATACCTGCAATGCTTATACGTTCTTGCTTTTGTATTTATAATTATAATACTGTCAGTGGTGTAGTTAGCCCACTGATCTATGATCTATTAGATCAGTGAGCTAGCCATACCAACAGGTCATGCTGCAGTATGCAAGTTTTTCATGATTTGCATTATTCAACTATTTGAATATTTTGTATTTATAATTATAATACTGTCAGTGGTGAAGCTAGCCCACTGATCTATTAGATCAGTGAGCTAGCCATACCAACAGGTCATGCCACAGTATGCAAGTTTTTAATGATTTGCATTATTCAAATAGATCCAGGTTTATAGCTGTGCCATGACCAGTTGCCATTGTAGCTAGCTTGCCACTGAATACTGTACAACATCATATTATATATAAACAATAATAATACTTTAATGAATCATTGGACATGTAGAATTTAATAACAATTTCATATACAGAAATATTAAGTCCGGTTTTGACCCAATTATCGTTTTAATGGTACCTTAAAGGATTAGTGTCAGGGTCATGTATTGCGGGCTATTGTTATTGTTTACATATTACTTAAATACAACAAAGAGCGATAAAAATACCTTGTTTGGTACATTTCTGATACAAATCACACAAAAAGAGCAAGTATTATAAAAGGGTGGTTTAAATATATGATAAATTGTAAAAAACTTCCCAGATCATCAATCTATTCGTCCCGAAAAATGGCCGATAGCAGGAGTTTGAGGGAAACGACAAAACGCGGACCCCAGGTCCGTGGACTACCTTCGTGGACCAGGTCCGTGGACTACACTCGTAGACCACTTTTACGGACCATTCTCGTGGACCACTCGCGAAACACCGGATTTTGGTAGTTTGCATGATTGAATTCTTGACTGTGCGTGGAAAAATGTGCATGAGCCGAGTTCCGTCATTAGATATGATCGTGGAAACTCAATGTGAAGTTCTAAATCCATTCACTATGTGACCATTCTAAAATGTACAATTTAATACGACTTTAATGCAAAGTTTCCAAATATATCCCCTTAAAATTGGTAGATTTTTTCTTTTCGAGCGCTACAGAAAATGCAAGAAAAGCAGTAACTCAGAGCTTCAAATAAAATAAATATTTTTGGGAAAGGACCTCCAGGCATTGAACGTCATTGCAATTTACAACTTCTACAGACTGTACAGTTCAAGTAATTTTTTTAACGTTAAAATTCGAATAATTCAGTAAAAACCTTCGAATATCAGATTCTCCAAAATATTCCTATATTTTTTCATGAACCAAATTTTTTCAGATTTTTACTTAACTGTACATCAACGAAAACTGAATTGATTGTGAAATAAATAACGGAAATGAATAATGAAATTGTGTTGTACTTTAGCCTGCGAACAGGCCCTGGGTTGCGGGCGGCGCTCACCTTTCTCCCAGTGAGCCTGTTCGCAGGCTAGTTGTACTTCAAATGACTGCGGTACCCTCAAATCTCGGGTTCCTAAACTTTGGGTTAATTAATGGTGCTCGGTCCATTGTCCGGTCGGCAAAATATCGCGAGTGGTCCACGAGTGTAGTCCACGGACCAGGTCCACGAAGGTAGTCCGCGGACCTGGGGTCCGCGTTTTGTCGTTTCCCGGAGTTTGAGCCAGCGAATTCCCGGTGTGACACTAATCCTTTAAAAGTAATCTGTGATCAGGCCTATAAATAAATAGGCCTGATACAAACCTTAACAAAAAATTCTAAAATTAAACGAGACTTACCTGTAAGTTGAAGTTTGATTGGAATTCTGTGACTTGTTATGCAGGAACAAGGGGATCACATGAGATTGCGTAACAATTACCCAACATTCAGTCTTTAAAGAAACTGCCAAGCATTGGTTTGTGGGCAGGGTTATACATAATAACATGAGGCGGGCTGTGATCCCCTTGTTCCTGCATAACAAGTCACAGAATTCCAATCAAACTTCAACTTACAGGTAAGTCTCGTTTAATTTTAGAATTCTATTTCCTTGTTATGCTACGTCACAAGGAAATCACATGAGATTTTAAAGCCCAATGTTTGGGAGTGAAAACAGATAAACAAAGTGTATAAACAACAATGTAAATGCTGATAACATAAACTATACAAGCCTTAACATAGGCAATAGCTCAGAACAAAAATAATGTAAATGTACTGTGAAACTTTTTTAAAATAACTGTCTTTAGACCTGCTTCAGCAAAACTTGCCCCATTTTCAACAGGTTTGTTATAGAATGTCTGAAAAGTTGCACAATTAGACCGTCCTGCACTACTGAGTATCTCATCTATAGAAACTCCCGCTGCCTTAGCTGCCGAAGTAGATGTAATATATATAAGACAACCAGCATCGGTAAACTGTATATTCGTAATGTCCATTAGTGTTATTGTTTGTGTTCTTTGACCAGATGGCAATGCTATTAACATAACAAGTTTATGAGCATGTTCTTTAAGCATGATTTTCTCAAGAGGGTATAATGTCTTGAGGTAAGTCAACACTAGGTTAACATCCCATGTATAGTGTTATAGCAAACACCACGAAGAATCTGCAAACCAGGGGATGCTGCCGCATGGTAAGTAACTTGGTACTGCTGGACAGTTCCGCTTCGCCATGATTTGATGCAAGTAAAGTAAACGTTGCATTTTGGGCAAAATCTGTGGGTGGTTGACCAACATTTGCATTGCCACAGGGCACCACGGTTGTGTAGGCCACAGGGGTATTATCAGTATACCCTCTGCTGATTCCTCCTGGATCTTTTGCCAAACATCTGTTAACAGGCTAAAGGGAGGAAAAGCGTAAAAGCTTTTAGTAGCCCAGTTCATGCTGAAAGCATCAACTGCTACTGCCTTAGGATCTGGCTGCCAAGAGACATATTGCTCTAACTTCTTGTTACGCCGGGATGCAAACAAGTCCACTTGGGGCTAAAAAATTTTGACACAGATCCTATCAAAAACTTGATCATTTAATGCCCATTCTGTATGGACATCAAATTGCCTGGATTTTTTATCTGCTTCTACATTAGTGACACCTGGGATATGGGTTGCCGATACCCAGATGTTTTTCTGAATGCACCAAATCCCCATTTGTCTTACTATTGCATTGCATTCTGAGGACTGGTTTCCACCCATATTATTCACATAAGCTACAGCTGTAGTATTGTCAAGAACAAGAAAGACTGCAATGCTAAAAAGGCTGCAATTGTTTCTAACACATTAATGTGTGCCTTAGCTTCGGTTTCTCCCCCATGGACCTCCTGCATGCTTTCCATCACTATAGGCACCCCAGAATGAATTACCATATCTGGCTGGCTGGCCAGAACAGGTTTGGAGGATGTCTCAATGTTGGATATCCACCACTGTAAATTAGCAAGAGCATCTTGTGATAGGGTCATATTTGCTGCATAATTACCTTTATGCAGTTTAAGAGCTTGGGTTTTATCCCTTTCTAAAGCCCAGTAGAATAGTTGTGCAAAGGTCACGGCGGGGAAACTAGCCACCATAAGGCCAATAACATGTGCACCCTCCTGAATTAAAGGTCTCCTCTTTGCTAACCAATTTATGCAAGCAGTTTGAAGCTTTGTGGCTCTTTCAGAGGTTAAAGAGACCGTCATGTCCTGTTGTTGTACTGACTTGGTCTGATGGGGAATAAACCCCAATGAATCAAACATTGTGGTTGTGTCATGGACATTTGTCTTACAACCGTCAAAGTTGTCATGCTGCGAGTACGAGTCATCAATATACCCGAAGGAGATGTGCCCCTTATTCTGCAGTAATGCATAGACTGGCTTCAAGATTTTTGTACAAATACGTGGGGCTGAGGCCAGACCATTTGGCAGGCATGTATAATGATACAATTGTCCTTGCCAAGAGAATTTTAGATACTTCCTGTCATTAGGGCATACTGGTACAGTATAGTATGCATCCTGCAAATCAATAGAGGCCATGAAGCAGCCCTGTTTCATCAAATGTATTGCAGTATAAATAGTGTCCATTTTAAAGTGATGGTATTCAACAAATTCATTTAACCTTTTCAAATTCAAAATTACTCTAAAGGTCCCATCTTTTTTCGGGCGAATAAAAATGGTAGAAATAAACTCCCCTGATCCTGGGTTAGTAGGCTCAATTACCGCTTTCATTAACTTGGTGATTTCATTATCAACAATGCACTCCTCAGAACTACTGACAGTTAGCTCTTTAGGTGACTGCAATTGGAATGGTTTCATTAGAAACTCAATTTCCACTCCCTGTATTGCTTTTAATATCCATTGGTCTGAAGTAAATTTTTGACCAAGCAGTCTGAAAATGTTTTAGCCCACCAGCTGTGAAGGGTGGTATAGTATCATCATTAAATGAATATATGGTACTAACCTGTTTATCGAGTTTCACTGACTCTGTGGTTTGTAGTGGCTCTGGCCCCTTTTGTGACGTGGGAGGTTGTTTTGGGGCCTCAACCTCCCCCGTCCATTTTTTGAATGCCAATTAAAGTTGTTTTGGTAAGCATAGCTGGGCCAACGAGTAGGTGTTGCAACCTTTTGGCTGACACGGTTTGTGGAAGCAATGTCCTGTAGTGTCTTGGCCACATCATCCCCAAAAAGCAATGTTGTAATCGGCACATGATCGCCACAGATTTGCTGAAATTTTTCATTCAAATCAGGCTTAATCAATGCTCGTCGCCGGCTATTGAGCTCTACATTTGCCTGAGCGACTAGGCTTACTGAGTCAAGAGCCAGCTTGATGATTTTTCCTTTATCAGTCGACCTATCATCCGATTGTCGACAATTTTCAAGGAGCTGAACTAATGGCAGTAGCCCTTTCAGCAAGAAGCTTTGTACTTTCTGGAGACGTATGTCCCGAGATGTGGTTGAAGATTGTAGTTGTGCCCAGATTTCTGGATTAACCCGAGTAGTTTCTAGTGATTCACAATTTTGTGGTCTAGGGTAAGCGTTTTGCTTTTCTTTAAGTTTTTCCTCGCTCAATTTTGAGCGCAGAGTTTTATTAATAACTTCGGCAAGCTTCTCGGACACATCAGGCCCCAACTGTTCTTCGTCTAGCTCTTGGACAACACTGTCCAAAATTGCGCCAAACTCTTTTTCATTGTCATTGCCAGAGTTTTCCCCCTGGCCCTGGGGCTGGGACTCGCCAAGCAACACGGCTACGTCGTCGTTCTGTTCATCCTCGAGCCTTGCCCGTTTAGGGCTGGTTGTTTGGTCGCCGTCAGCCGAGGCCGGCGAGGAAGACCTTGATTTTTGGCGGGAGCGCTTGCCTCGTGATTTTTGTTGCATCAGATCTGTCAACAATTCGCCAAGCGAAGAAAAACCATCTTTAATGTTGCCCGATAGCTCCTCGAACTTCTCCTCCATATTGGATTGACTCTCGTGCCGATCGCCAGAAGGACTTGCTTGTGCATGTGTGGCCTCATCGCCTTCGAGCAGTCTTGCATCATCTTCGATTTCGCCCTCGGAGTCGGCCATGTTGAGTCCGTGGACGATTCCTGGTATATCGCACTGAATCCTCGAGCAAAACCACCAAATTATTGGTTCAAATTGCTCCGGAACAGTTGGTTTCGCTTTTAAGCGTTCTTTTGTAACGAATTCAATTAAAATTTTAAATATTTTTCAATAATTTTGGGCACAGAATTTTCTGTCCCCCGAGGGGCATTTCACTCCAAAAATCCCGTGCACTTCGTCAAAAAATCCGGAAAAAATCCGGAAAATCCAACAGATTTTCTCTTCAAAAATCCGCTAAAAATCTGGGAAAAATCTCAGTGGGAAAAATCCGCTAAATCCGCTAAAACATCCGCGGATTTTTGAAAATCCGAAAATCCCGTACGCTTCGTCAAAAAATCCGGAAAAAATCCGAACAAATCTGGAAAATCCAAACAAATCCAGAAAATCCAACAGATTTTCTCTTCAAATATCCGCTAAAAAATCCGGGAAAAATCCGCTAAAAAATCCGCGGATTTTTAAAAATCCGAAAATCCCGTACGCTTTTTTGGAGTGAAATGCCCCTCGCTGTACCCTCACTGAACGCCGAATTAGGTACGCACTGAATGTTGGGTAATTGTTACGCAATCTCATGTGATTTCCTTGTGACGTAGCATAACAAGGAAATAGAATCATGCCTTACAATCATATTTCGGGTGTAAATCTGATTGGTCTATGAGACAAAAAGATTTTTTAATCTGTCATTTGATTGGTTCGTGGTAATTATATTAGATTATAAAATAAAGTGTTGTTTATAGTGATCACAACTATAATTAGATTGTTGTTGTCCTTGTGTGAAATTTAAATTTTTCCTGCGACATTTTGATTGGATAATAAATATAAACTTTGCTGCACATGGCCATGGGTGGAAAACTATTGGATTAAGGTTTGTGTCAGGGTAAATTTGAGAAATAGAGCCTGATCGATCTCAGGTTACCCTCAAAGCTACCCACACTACCATAGGAAGCAATGTTGTATTGGGGGGCTGATTAATCTGGGGTGATTATTGCTAGTTCACAAATTACTGTATTGTTGCTACAACCCTGACCCCTAAATTGCAAAACAACTGAACCATCTGCTGATGCCTGATGGGGAGACAAAATCTGTTTGTTGACAGTTTTGTTTCATACGTCAGCTTCTGATGACATCATATTCATTTGTAATGATTAAGATTGTACTCAGTCAGAACTACAAAACTATATAATACAAGAAATTGTGAGCATTATAAAAAATATAGTATACCCTGAACTGTAGTGACAGCCAGGTGAATATATTATGCTAACAAGTAGCAATGGACATACATCTTAGGGCCTGTTTATATGGAAGCTGGGCTGGCCCGCTTAGCGAGAAGCCCGGTAAGCAAGATGAATTTCTCTTGTGTTTATATGAGAAAATTTCATCCCGCTTGCCGGGACAATTTTGTTACATTGATGTTGTTTTGACAGTTGTTAAAAATAGCTGGCGGCGGTATCTTTGAACTTTCATCCCGGCAACCAAGCTAGCCCGCTTATGAGTGTTTATATGGATAAATTCCATCCCGGTAAGCAAGATCTCGCCTCTTTCAAGCAAGATCTCGGCAACCGGGCCAGCCCGCTTGTCCATATAAACGCACGATAATTTTTACTATAATAATAACTACACAGCGAGATCTCGCTTACCGGGCTGTCTCGCTAAGCTGGCCAGCCCGGCTTCCATATAAACAGGCCCTTAGATCATATTTGTACAGACCATCAAAGGTCGGTTGACATGATATTACATAAACTGCTGATATTACATAAACTATGTGCAGACAACAATCCACACTGGGTTGCTATAGGAATATCTTTGTACAACAGTACAAGTTAGATACTTTTTCATTCGTATAGAATTATGTGTTCCAATCACTGGTTCCAATGCGATACTGTACGATACTGCTCAATTGATATTCCCATAATAACAATATTATAATAAACTATCACTGTGATTATTTATACCTTGAAGTACAAGCTCAAACAGATTTTTTACTCCACTTGTTTATATGAAGAGTTGTATACTTGTATGGCAGCTAAATTAAAATTTAATAAAAATACAGTAAATTCATTCGTTTCAATATGTAAAATAATTCGACCAAAACACATTAATTGTTATTTGTGATCAAACTTTCATCTTACCTTGAAAAATATTTTCGATTAAAACAGCCAGACGCAAGAAAAATATTTCGATAAACAGCCAGACCATAGGAAGCCCAAACAAGCGGGTTTTATTAAATAAAATCCGTAATTAAAACGTTAATTAGCAATAAAATTGCTGTTAGAATCGTGCACGTAGCGTGCTCCGGTCGCGCTGTGATTTGACTATATAATTAGTGACGTATCCTACTATGTTATTGGGAAGGACGAAAAGTATTCCTCATTTGTTCATGTATTGACAAATTTAAAAGACAAATTACTGTAGGAAAACGGCACGTTATCTGCTAAATGTCTATCGTAGGTTTACGTTGAATAATCAAACTATATTATTATCATAAAATTAGTGTGGAATCTAAAGGAAAGCACTGGAAAAAACGGGCAAAAGTTTCGTAAATTTACCGAAATATTCGTGAATATATGCGGGATGTAAGTACATACCCAGGGCGACAGACGCGTCTGATTGGTCGAGAAAAGTAAACAAAGTGCGAGAGATTTTGACAAAACCGGGGGGAGAGAAGGCACGTATTTTTTTGATCGAACAAGAACGGGAAAATAAAAAAATACGAAAAATTGTAAATAATATTACGAAAAATATTTTTATTTCATTTTAAATTCAAAAATATTGACGAGAGCTAGCTATCATTATGTAAAGTGACAAAAGAGAAAGACTTTTTCAGGCACAGTACAAATATATATTTTTTACGCAAATTGCTGCAACGTTTTCACGTTTTTTCATATTAAAGTATATTCCTACTTGTAGTTTTATACCGGCGAACAGCCGTCAAAAAATGGCAAAAACAAAACCAGGAATATACATACAAAAGGAACGTCAACAATTTCTTATGCATGGTTAGTTCATAACTTTGTATGACTATATGAAATGTACATTATAATTTATAAATTAAAGGCCCCCAGTCGTGTTTCATACTAGTGTCAAAAACCGAGGCAAAGTGATAAATGTGGCCTTGTTTTACTTTTATTTTGCAAAAAACTGTCAGATAAAAGGTTTCCCATATATTTTAGGTCAACTTTGATGAGAAAATTATAGTGTAAAAACACCTACCTTGAGATATTAGTTGAGTAAAGTATTCGCATGTCCGTCATCAACATTGTCCATCCACTCAAATAAGTTTTGCGAGTTAATGCCTCGAATATAATCACACATAAATATCCAATTTCTCAACATACACACAGCTTTTAGATTAAAACACAACCCGTTTTGGCGTTTCCGAGTTTTCTGCAGTCTACGTGACTTGTTGCACGAATTCATACCGTATGCTTCGACTATACGACGATTTGAGAACACTTTCAAAAAATAGGTACGCAGTGCGTACATGTTGCATGCCATCAAAAGCTAGCGTGAAAACAGACCTACGTTTCGCCCGCCCTAAAATTCGCAGGTGGACGGAGCCGTTAGACTTGCTCCAAGTTTCTCTTTCATTGTCATATAGTATCAATCCACTATAGTATACATTACATGACGTACTACGGAGGGGCGGAGCGAGAAGGAGAGACTTGTCAACTTCGGAAAATCTCGGTTGAAAACTGAACAGAAAATGCAAGACTTGCTTTAATTGTTTTCCTTCAATTTCTTTCTGTATTATTTACTATAATGGAACTCATGTTATTTACACTGTGCTAGATCAATACAGTGGAACCCCGCCTTACGGCCACCCCGTTAATACGGTCACCTCGATAATACGGTCACTTTTTTTTGTCCCGGCGAAACACTAATACATTTTATAATAAAGTTACCCGGTTAATACGGCCACCCCGTTAATACGGCCATATTGTAGAGTCCCGAACTAAAGAAATCACCCCGTTAATAAGGTCACTCAAAAAAATAAATGTGTTTACGGACGGAAATGCAGTATAATTTAAGACACCTTGTGCAGTGAAACACACAATTCAAGTTGCATCATATTACTAATTTTTTGATTTTTATTATCAGTCGTGCAAAGGAAAAGAAAGAATACAAGGTTCTTTAGCGACGTTGTATTCCCTAACATTGTTTCCTTAAAATTAGTGACAACTTTATCTGAACTTTATAATGTTTAGTTATTAATTGGTATTATGGTGGGGTATGGTGTTATTGTGATTTTCGAATAAACATAGCTTTAATGACGTCACAATTGAAATTTGATCTCACCCCGTTAATACGGCCACCCCGTTAATACGGCCACCCCGTTAATACGGCCATATTATTTCGGCCCGTTGGTGACCGTATTAACGGGGTTCCACTGTACATATAAACACTGACAGAAAACAATTAAACCAAGTCTTGCATTTTCGGTTCAGTTTTGAACCGAGATTGTCCGAAGTTGACAAGTCTATCTTTCTCGCTCCGCCTCTCAGTGCTACGTCATGTAATGTACACCATAGTGGATCGATATGACAAGAGAGACTTGGAGCAAGTCTACGGATCCGTCGACCCGCAAATTTTAGGGTGGGCGAAACGTAGGTCTGTTTTCAGGCTAATCAAAACCATGAAACGTTATGACACAGAATACTATACAGAAGTCGATTTCCATTGTTTTTTTTTTGCGTAAGAGCTATTCGTCATGATTGATGATTCGTCACTCAGCAAGTACCGTAAACAGAAGCAGTCGCCCCCCCCCCCCAGAGGTCGCCCCCCTGGTTATGATGCGCTAGCGCTTATAACGTTTGGTACAACTGGCCTGAAACTTAATATATTGATTCAATAAGTTTAATATCAATATATATATATTGAAAATTGGCTATTATGTCAAAATAAGAAAACTTTAGATTATCACGCGAAAAGGCAATGTTTTTATGAGCAACTGTTCATCGTTAGGGAAG